TAGTAATATAATAGTAATACAATTTACAGTGTACAATCTAATACTCTTTTAGTGAATAAAACAATTAATGTAATTAATACATTTTCCATTAATTTACAACAAACATAGTGAAATTGACTTATTAATGTTATTTACATCATATAATTTAGGTACATTAGAATCTTAAATTAATGTTCCATTACAAATAAAATACAACATTCAAATTAAATAAATTGTCTGCACTATCTGTACTATCTATACAAATAACACAGACATTACATACATTGTTTGACATTAGTTACGGCTTCACATTATAGTGAATCCGCATCCAGAGAGAACCACGAGGAGGTTGTCAAACTTTCTCTCCGTTTAGCCCGAAGGCAAGGTCATCACGAAGTCACCTCCACACAGACCACGTAGAACAGCGGTGTAACGTATTAAGTTTGAAAAACGTATTAGGTTTAAAAAAAACTGTTACACATGTTGGTTTAAAGTCAACCAGACTATCAACAGCGGTATAACGTATTATGTTTGAAAAATATGTTACACATGTTGGGTTTAAAGTCAACCAGACTATCATCGGGCGCATGTAGTACACAGACCAGTATAACAGCGGTGTAACGTATTGTGTTTGAAAAATACGTTACACATGTTAGGTTTAAAGTCAACCAGACTATCATCGGGCGCATGTAGTACACAGACCAGTATAACAGCGGTGTAACGTATTGTGTTTGAAAAATATGTTACACATGTTAGGTTTAAAGTCAACCAGACTATCATCGGGCGCATGCAGTACACAGAACATTATAACAGCGGTGTACCTAACGTATTATGTTTGAAAAATATGTTACACATGTCAGGTTTAAAGTCAACCAGACTATCACCATCATCTAGACTCGATCGTCGGACGTCACCTAGAATATACTTACCACTGTAATTGCATTACAGAACTTCCCTGTACACAATGTTCTTGGTGACGAATCGCCCGCTGTCATCGGCGTACATACCGACTTTCACGGACTGTGCGTTTCTCACCCTCGAAAACGCCACGTACAGCTGCCCGTGAGTGAACGGGGGCGACGTCAGTAGCAAACCTACCCTGTCGAACGTCTGACCCTGCGACTCGTTGATGGTCATGGCGAACGACAACCTCACCGGGAATTGAATGCGCTTCAGTGGGATGGGCAGGTCGTCCTCACCGCTGGACCTGAGCGGTATCTTGGGCAGGACGATGTCGTCGTCCCGTGGGTCACCGCCCAAAATCCTCGCCTTGAAATTGTGTCGCCGCAGTTCGGTGACCACCAACCTCGTACCGTTGCACAGTCGTCTCCTCGGATCGAGATTTCTGAGCAACATGACGATGCACCCCACCTTCAACTCGAGCCGGAACGGCGGCAGGCCGTCCGGTACCAAAGTGTTGAGAAACTCTGTGGGGAAATTGGCAACTTCGTCGGCCGCGTCCACCTCCGCGGTGTCGACGGCCTGATAGGTCTCCGAATTGCCGTCGAAGCGCTCCAGCACGTCCGCGTTGACACCTCTGCACTCTTCGTTGGTGGGACACACGACGACTCTCCGAGCAAATTCTTCGACGTTGGCCAACGACATTTGCTGCGGATACACGAAATCGATTAAATTGGCGACGTCGCATACCATTTCCTGCGGGATTTCCACCGTGTCCGGAACGCCGTCGACGGCGGGCAGTTGGCCGTTGCCGAGCTGAAGCAACCAAGACGCAAAGTCCGCGTCGTTGCCCGCGCGCATGTTCTGGACCAGATCGAAGCGCTCCATGACGTTCCACAGATGGTTGTTCTTGATCGACGACATGACGATCTCGGCTCTCGTCCCTCTCCGGATCACGGGCAATATCTGCCTGAAGTCGCCGGCGAACAGCATGGTTTTACCGCCGAACGGTAAGTTCGAAACCATGACGTCCTTGAGCAGGCGGTACACCAGCGTCAGTTGCAGTCCCGGCGACATGGGGGCTTCGTCCCAGACGATGAGAGCCGCGTTGCGTATCCTCTGCGCTCGCGCGGACTGCATGGTGATGGTGGACGTCGAGTCTTCGGTGAGCGTGCCGAACGGCAGTCCGAACGTCGAGTGCACCGTCATGCCGCCGTCCATGAGCGACGCTGCGATCCCGGTGTACGCGACGCTACCGAAGCTGCCGAAGCGACCATATCAGGCATCCGTACAGCGTAGTTTTTCCCGTACCTCCGGGTCCGTCGACGAAGAAAGTTCGCGTCACCTCGACTGGGTCTTCGACGGCCGCCATCACGCGGTCGTACACCGTTCGCTGTTCGGCGTTCAAGTTTTCCACTTGTTGGGCCCACCGTGCCGCCGCGTCTATTTCTCGGAACAGCGCGTTGTCGTCCTGCAGCGGTTCCAGTAGTAGAGGGTCGGCGAGGGGCAAACCGTAGTCGACCGCGGATGACTTTCCGTGACCACGAAGTAGATCCTCGATGGCTGCCAGACACGCGACCCTCGCGCGGTCGACGTCTTGGAGACGCCGGTTGAAGTTCTCCATCAGGTTCGCTTCGTTCCTCTCGTACAACGCACAGTGGTCTGAAACGTCATTTTACGCGGCCAAAAGTCTATATTTTAAATGTCAATTTTAACTTTTTTTGTAATGGAACTATTATCTGTATACACTATTGAATATTAATCCCGAGTTACAATTTCCTAAGTATAAATTCTAAAGAGCTGTAACATGTTTAGTAAACAATTTCTTTATTTCTATCAATATTTCATCGAATTTTATAGTTTTACTTGCATATTCTTTCATATCGAAGAATATATATTTTTTGATAAATAATATTTTTATATTAAATTGTAAGGTCCCTAGACTAATATTAAAGACCGAAAATAGAATTTTTTTTTTTATTTTTTTTTTATCATACAAAAAAAGTAAAAAAAAAAGATTTTTTAAATTTTTTAAATTTTGAAAGAGTGCCACTTAAATCTACGCATTTTTTTCGTTTCTAGAACAGATGGATGTCATAGAGAATGTTCTTAGCTATTTGAAAACATATATTTGTTAGTGCGCCGGTAAACTTTACCGGCGTAAAACATTTAGTATTATCAGAAAACGTATTATCGTAAGATTTGCGTTAGGTACTTTAACAATTATTACAACAGGTAGTTTAAATAATATTTATTATATAATACAAACAATTAGCTTTAAATCATCAACTCATAATTGATACTAATCAATAAATATATTCACTACATTTAAAATATCAAATGTTTAAATCAATGTCATTAAATGATTGATTTAAATCATCATTATTATTAAGATACATTACACATAATGATTTTGCTTCATCAGAAAGTTCTTGTCTGCATTTTGTTGATAAATGTCTAATTGATGAAATATATGGATCAGATGAAACAAGTAGCATATGGAAAAGATCTTCATTAGTATTTTTTCTAGAACTTTTACGCGTGTGGTGTTCTCTAATTCGTTTATAGTCCTTATTCCTCGACTCTTGTGCTTCTTCGGAAAGTTGACTTAAAATAATAAAAATATATAATGTAAGATATTGAACGATTATAAAATTTATTTAAAGTAGGTAAAAGATTAATTACCGATGGGAAGAATTGCATATCGTATTACTTCAGCACCGTGTACCAATATTTTGTGTATGCTGGCAGGCATATAATACCATGGGTAAAGATGTATAAAAAGTTTAGCTGTATCTAATGCATACGTTTCAAATGCTTCTATGTTTACCTCATATTCACTAGAAATCACTGATAAAATATTTCCAAACCGTTTAAATAAATTTATATCTATCCCAGTAATTTCACAGCTTTTTTCTGGGTTTTGAAAAAACCGTCTTGCAGTGTTACCATCATTTGTATTTCCTTTTCCTAAAAAAAAAAAAACAATATTTTCCTATTCTAATATTATATTCTTCTATAGTAGAGAATTTAAGCAGTTAAAATGTAAAATAAAAATGTTTACCTTGGACGACTATATCAACAAGTAAAACAATTTATTTACGAAATCTTTCTTGAATTTGTTTTTTTGTTTCGGAAACTTTTAATTTATGTTCTAGTTTTCGGACCTAAATAAATTATATAAAAGTAAAAAACGGTTTACCTGTATTTCCAAAATGATTATTATTCATATTATATACTTACAGACCATGTTTTGATTTCCAACCGATAAGAAATATGTAATACGCATTCAAAAAATCGTATCCACGCGTGAAGCGTAGATACTCCAAATTTTAGAGATTCTTCTTTTACCTCAAATTTTGTAAAGTTTTCAATATTATTCATTTGGGTAGGGGTACTTCCACAAATATAACATCTTTGACTAGATGTATTTGTTAATGAACTGCACACCTAAATAAACTTAAATTAAAAAAAATAATGTCCTATACACATATTGTTTATTATTATTATATACCTTTCCATCAACCATCGTAAATACTAATTTATGTGCAACTGCTATTTCTATACCATGTACAAGTACAGTTGAAAAATTTAATTGCTTAATTTTTTCTTCAATAATGTTTACCTCAAGTAAAGTGGATGCTACCGTTTCTTTTTTAAAATCAAACATTATTGGCCGGCAATAACGCGTAGATGATGTACGGTTGTTTTTCCATAGAACAAATGTTTCATTTTTTTCGTTTAAACAACGTAACTCAAGTGGTACAATAGAAAACATAAAAAGATCGCTGTCCATGCTGCAAACATCATCATTTTCATACATTCGCTTATAAGGTGATTGGCCATTACTACCGTCACAACCCCATTTGTAAAAAATTTCAAAACTATGCATATTATTTATATCATAAGTATCAACTACAGGGATTTTAAATATTCGTAATGATGTGTGGTCAAGAAGATTTTGTAAATTAATTTCACAGCGTGTTTCCGATATAACGCAATTGTCTGGATAACATAGTTTTTTTTCTTTTAAAATTGAAGAATATGGTGGATAAATATTAGCATTTCGGTTTTTGGCAGACAACCTAATATTTATGTATTGCTGTTTCGTTAAATCATTTTCAACAAAAAAAAGCCAAAGCTTCGTCAGCAGTAAATGGAATAATTTCAGTTAATTTTGATTTTTTAATCGCATTTTTAATTTTAAAAATTCTATTAGGTGACATTGTAGCATTTTTAAAAAGTCGGACGACACTTCTTTGTCCACTCTGTTGCATTTTTCTATTTGAGGCGTATATTATTTCTGGGGAAGTCATATTCGAAGACTCAATCGAATTAGTCATTTTTCGACGTTTAGTTCGTTCAGATGACTCGGTAAATGTTTTAGGTGTACGACCAAAATTAGCAGCTTTTGGTATTAAAGACTTAGGTTTTAAATGAGGCATTTCAAATTTAGTATTAAGCCACGCATTATGAATGGTATAAAATTTATCAAGTTTCCTATTACATTTCAAAAGTTTTCTTGATAATACTAATGAAAAATTTACAATTTCATTGTTTAGTAATGAAATATAATTACTATCCCATTTACAACCACCGCATTTTTGTTGTATGAAATAAAATATTTCTTTCCTACATTTAACAGATATAACCGATTTGCATTGAAAAGAATGGTTTTTTCGAATGAATTCAATTATATCTCGAATTGAAAACACCTTGCCACAATCATTTTCTGAACTAGCTGAAAAAAATAGAATATAAATAGAATATATTATTAAATAAATAAAATAATATCAAATTAATTGAATAAAATATTTAAATAGATATTTTTCTTTGAAATAAATTCCTGAGTAATAATAATAACTTTATTTATACTTACTTTCTGAATGATCATCCATAATTGAAAAACACAAAAAAATTATTGTAAAATTAAACAGAACTAAATCAAAGAATTACAAGTGTTGTACATATAACGAAATAAACTGAACGCATGTGGTAACAAAACGTCTAAACTGTGAATGCGATTGTACAAGTATTGCAATATCGTATCTATAATAGCAGACAATTTTTCTAATATACAGGTAGAAAGGAAGGTACATTACTTATCTACTTATATTTTTATACAACAATAATATAAATTAGATGACATTAGTCTATCGAACAGGATACAGATAAGCATTTCAATTCAATAAATTGTTAAGTAACGCAAATCTTACGATAATACGTTTTCTGATAATACTAAATGTTCTACGCCGGTATAGTTTACCGGCGCACTAACAAATATATGTTTTCAAATAGCTAAGAACTTTCTCTATGACATCCATCTGTTCTAGAAACGAAAAAAATGCGTAGATTTAAGTGGCACTCTTTCAAAATTAAATACATTTAAAAAAATCTTTTTTTTTACTTTTTTTGTATGATAAAAAAAAATAAAAAAAAAAAAAATTCTATTTTCGGTCTTTAATATTAGTCTAGGGACCTTACAATTTAATATAAAAATATTATTTATCAAAAAATATATATTCTTCGATATGAAAGAATATGCAAGTAAAACTATAAAATTCGATGAAATATTGATAGAAATAAAGAAATTGTTTACTAAACATGTTACAGCTCTTTAGAATTTATACTTAGGAAATTGTAACTCGGGATTAAATTCTGTGGTGTTTGGGTAAAGGGGGATAAGTCAAAAAATGTGTATTTTGAGATAACATGTAAGAGACGTAGAGAATTTTTTTTTTTACGTTTGTGCATAACGGGATAACTCGAATGACGAATTAAACAGTAGTAATTGATGTGTGAAAAACGGGATTAAACACTTATAATGCAGTTTAGTTTGATCAAAACAGGATAACTCAGTTGTACCATATTACACATTTACTACTTTTGTGAAAAATAAGTCAAGTTGACTAGTATTTTATTACACATATTTTAGTTTTGTCCAAAATGAGATAAGTAAACTTATCCCCCTTCACACACAATTTTATTGACATATCTCATTTTTATCATTATTACTAACATACTATTATCAATATTGCCAAAGAACAATAATATTTGTTATTAATAGAATGTCTCACATTATTTTATTTTGACAACACTGATTTTAACAACACAATATTATATTAATTAAAAACCTTATTAGTTTGTTATCAGTGTCATTCTATGATTTTATCTAGATGATTAATAATGCAATACAATAAAAATATAAACTGTTTCCATGACATTTGTCATTTGTGTGAATAGCCTGCTGTTTTAGATATTTTTATTTAGTTAGTATTTTTATTTTATTTATTAAATCACTCTAGCCACTTATAATGCAGAATAAAAGAGCACAAAGGCTTATATCTTTAGTGTCAACAGCAAAACCCAAAGGTAAATTTTATATATTGAAAATTTTGCTGTTTCACTAAAATTTATTTATTTGTATTTCTATTGTATCAATAATGTTATTACAAATATGTTTATGTAGACCAAAGTGAATCAGATAGTAGTTTTTATGACAATGATAGATACTCAGACAAGTCATTTACACTGGACAGATATGATAGCCATTCTTCTGAAGATAATAATATTTCCATGTCACTAACTAAAAAATTGAAGACTTTAGATGCACAAAAAAAAGTATGTAAAAATGTATATTAATAATAATATTCTATTATTTATTATCAGAACAGTACTGTAGTTTGGAAGTTATGTATTATATTAATAATTTTTGTTAATATTGTATTTTATAATCTTTTGTAATATCATACAATATTACAATAATACAGTTATATTTCTATTGTCTTACAAAATGGTTTAAATTTGTTACATAGTAACTTACTAATAAGTACTTTTTCAGTAATTTAGTACCATACAAGTACATATTTTAAACATAATTTTCAAGAAAAATTTGTTATTATAATATAATATTATATTTAATAAAAAGTATTGAGCTAATTAAGTTGTATTAACATAATTGTGGGTTTTATTTAGATTGAAGACTTAGTAACATTACAAAATATGGTAGAAGTAACTGAAATATACAGTAATGAACAGACTGAAAACTTGGTAGAAAACAATAATCTTATGCCTATCATAATTAATGAAATTGAAACTGAATTAGTACCAAATCAAGAAGAAATTGAAGCCGTTGAAGGTATTCCTATTGAAAATAAAAAAATTAGAAAAGAAAAGTTAAGCCTTAAAAATAAAAGAAGAAAAACTCGAAAAATGAGAACAGAGAGAAGAAATCATGGTGAGGAATATCAGTCTGAGGGAGGAAAAATTGTAGCAGCAAGAAAACTAAAAGATTTAGTTGAATGTCGAAAAAAATGTAAGGAACGTTTTTGTGATAGTGATAGACAATGCATTTTTAATGAATATTGGTCATTAGGTTCTCACAGTAAAAGAATGTCTTTCATAAGTAGTTTGATCACAAGCGATGAAAAAAATTCAGAAAAAAAGAAAATAAAGGATGTGAAAAAACAAAAAATGAGATTGATAAGTTATAAATATTTTTTAAAAATTAATGGACAAATGCATGAAATCTGTAAAGTTTGTTTTTTAGCTACGTTTGATGAATCTAAAAAATTTGTTGAAAATGTTCAACTTAAATCTAGAGCTACTATTTCTGGTGCAGTTCAATATGATATGAGAGGGCGCCATTCACCAAGTATAAAAATTTCTGAAGAAAGGTTATCAATTGCTAAAAAACATATATTGTCTATTCCCACATATGAGAGTCACTACACTCGACGTGATACTCAAAAACGTTACTTACCATCTACATACACTTTAGCTCAATTGTATAGTGAATACAAAAGAAATTGTGACAATCCTATAAGCCGTACAGTGTATGAAAAATTAGTTCATGATTTAAATATATTTATTAAAGCTCCTAAATCTGATACTTGTAACACATGTGATAAACTTCACATGAAAATAAATTTTGCTACTGATGAAGAGAAGCTGAAATTACAAGAAACATTAATTGAACACCAAAACCTAGCTGATCAAGCATATTCACAAAAAGCTCATGATAAGTTGGAATCAATAACTGACCCAACTAAAAAAACGTTGAGTTTTGATCTCCAACAATGTCTTCCCACCCCACAATTAGAAACAAATGTAGTGTTTTATAAGAGGCAACTTTGGGTCTACAACCTCACAGTACATGACTGTGATGATGGTCAAGCTTATTGTTACATGTGGTCAGAAGTGGACGGTGGTAGAGGAGCCAATCAAATTGCATCTTGTCTGTCTAAACATTTATATGATATTGATCCCCAAGTATCTCATATTACTTTGTATTCTGATACATGTGGGGGTCAAAATAAAAACACTCACTTGGTTGCTATGTTTATGGCAGTCCTTAAAAATCATCCAACTTTAAAAACAGTTGATCACAAGTTTCTACTAGCAGGCCACACAAGAATGGAATGTGATAGCGATCATGCTCTGATTGAAAAAAATAAAAAAAAAACTAATGTTGCTATCTATCATCCACATGATTGGTTGCAATTGGTCCGGCAAACAGGGAAAAAAAAACCATTTAAAGTGATCCAAATGGAGCTAAATGATTTCTATGAATATTCTGCATTACTATCATCTACATTGCAAGTAAAAAATGTAAAAAACAATGTTGGAGAAAAATTGAAATGGCAACCAGTAAAATGGCTTCGATACACTAAAGACAATCTTGGTACTCTGCAATATAAAGATACACTAGATGTTTTAGAACCATTTAAGTACCTGAAACTACTTAAACAAGGACAAGCTCGTAGTTCATTTATTCCCCCTCTAACATATACTAAACCAATTCCAATCACCGAAGCCAAAAAAAAAGACTTACTTTCTCTGCTACAGTTTATTCCTACAATTTTCCATGATTTTTATAAAAATTTATCAACTGATAAATCCCAAATAGACCAGTTATGTCTTGACGAAGAAGAAAATGAGGAAGACTGAATAACATAATATAAGTTTAAAATTAAATTAATATTCTAATATTGTTATTTATTATTATAAAAAATAAGAGACTAAGTAGTGTCAAAATGTTATTATTTCTAGGATAAGGTAAATAAGATTTTTTATTTAATTTCTTTATTTAAAAGGATACAATTTATTTTTTGTGTTATAAAAAATTATAATTATGTTATAATAATAAATTACCATGGAAACAAAAAAGAATTAATTGTTTATATTTACCTAATATGATATCTAAAATAAATAATTTTAATGTTAAAGTTGATTATAATACTATAATAAAAATATAAGTATTGTTAAAATGTTAAAAATATTTTAATGTGTTATTGGAGATAAGTCAGAAAAAAATTCGAGTAAAAAGAGTCAACTCAATAAAAAAAATATTTTTTTACTTTATTTTTTTTTTTTTTTAAAGATTTTTTGTTTCATTATATTAATATTTAGAAATATAGCTTGACAAGAAGTTAAATTATTAAATACATTTTGGTCTTCTTCAAATAGAATAAAAGATTTTTCTCAATAAATTTTCAAAATTTCAAATGCGTTTCCTCAACATTACCAAATATGGACTTAACCCCCTTTACCCAAACACCACAGATTTATTTGGGATGTATTTAGATAAATGTATTAATTTTTCATCAATAACATTTATTACATTTGGTGATAATGTTTCATTATGTTTTGGTGAACCTATCCAAAACAATAATAATTTTTTCATCACTCCAATACATACGCAATGCATGTAATCAATTGGTATATTTAAAACAAGATTGAAATTTCGAATTTCAGACATTATTACAGGTCTTACATGGTACTCATTGTCGGTATAAGATATAAATTCTTCGTGAGTTCTTAAATTTGAATCAAGATTTGGAAAATATACCCTATAATGAGCCCATTTACCTACAGAATGAAAACGTGGGCATGAATTTTTTCCCGTGTGGCCTTTTATATTAAAAACAAATGCTTTTGCAGGAGCATCACAAATAACAGCTTGAAGTGAAACTTTTAACTCTTTTCCTTTCACCATCACACACCTTCAGCAAACATTTTTATTTCATTCCCAAAATTACTTTTTCCATAATAAGCCCCAATGATAAACACTTTTTGTCTTTTACAAGTAATATTAGTGAAATGAACATGAATAAACCATAATTCACTTGATGGATTTTTACAAACAGACAAACCATCAATGCCAACTAATTAGGTCCAAACGTTTGGAATATTTTGATTAATTTCAACTAAATCTTCAATTTCTTCTTTAATCCCAAAATGGTGATATATTCCACCTCCTATGTTTTTAATTTTAGTAGTTGTAGGAGTTTTTAATTAAGTTCTAGCATCTTTAGGTAGCTCTGAAAATGCAGGTAATATTGATAAACTTTTAAGTAGATCATTTAATGCATAGTGTGTAATGTCATGACGAATAGCCCAAATTGCTATAATAAGTCTTAGATTTGGTGTTTGTTCAGAATCTGATGATGAAGAGCTATCCAAACTCGACTCAAATTCATTAAATTGTTCAACTATATTATTAGGTTCTTGATGATTTAGTTCATCAATAGAATTTTCATTTTGAGAGGTATTAACTATGGATGTAACATACATTTGTGATTGAGGAGATATAGTATTTTTAAAACCTGAGAACAAACTAACTTCCATTGAATCATCATCAGAACTTGATGAGGAAAATAATAAAGAAGTTAGGACTTCAGCTCTATTGCGGCGACGATAGCGAGAACTTTTATTAACTTTTAATTGCTTGAACATGATTAAATATTATGAAAATGTAAGCCTATTAATTATTAAGAATTAAGAAAACTTACATGTTTCTATAGTATAGGTATACTAGATTGAAACCGTGAATGAATCTAGAAAAAAAATTTAGGTATTTTAATAAAATCATAAAAATTATAAAAAGAAAAAAAATCTAAAAATTGATTTAAATTAGGTATTAGATTATTATAACTTAAATATTATGACCTAGGTACATAATTAAAAGTACAACAAAAACAAATATATAGGTTATAGGAACATCATTATTTTTAAACATGGGAGATGGGTACCTATATTTTATATTACAACTATTGCTCGAATTGTGAGGTGGGAACAGAGGGGGGCGGAGCTCCACTACTATTTTTTTTTTTTTACCCAACTACTTGTTTTGCTTGGATGAGGGGACGGCACAAACTAATGACAGAAATACATTTTATTAAAATGAGGAGTATATTTAAATTGTTATCAATGAAACCTATAATGATATTTACATTTTAAACATTATATGTTGTTGCATATTATATTATACTTGGACTATAACAAAGCAAAAATGTTATAACCAAACTAAAATGTAGTATTTACAATTTAGATGACATGATGGGTATGGACAAACATTTTTTAAAGTTTTGGATTAAGCTCCTCTACTTAATAAATCCCAATTTGCTCACTGATTAAAACTCAACAATAAATAGGTAGTACACATTGTTAGATTATAATATTTAAATTATTTATGTTATTAAATTATTGCTACTCAATTTGTTGATAATTTGTAAAAACTATTATTATTTGTATTTTACATATACATTATAACTCAGCTGGAATATAAATAAGTACCTAATACATAGATAACTATTAAAATTTACAGTTAATAAATAGTGATTCAATCACTTCATCGACTCATTATGCCATTCGTGTTGAGTTCAGATAGCAAAAATAATTATATCTTGATAAATATTATATTACTAGCTAAATAACCATAGTATGAAGATAGAATATTATATTTTTATCTAGATTTGTACCTTATAATAGTTAATTTGTTTTGATAATGTTTGACATGCTATTGAATTATTGACTGAGTAATGTGATTAAGAGAGGCATATCCAGGAAGGCTTATTTTATGTCAAAAATATATTAAAGAATATGGATTAATAAATAACATTGCTAAAACAAGTACAACAATGCAGAAGTCATAAATAAAACATTGGTTATTTATTAAAATATACCTAACATAAAAAATTAAATTATTACAGGTAATCAGCCCAGCAAATGTTATTATGTTGTACTCATTTATATATGTTGTATACTATAGATAGCATTGTGGTAATGTATTTGATGTAAAATGACTAAATGTAATTGACTAAATTACCTTACTAAATAAGTAAACAATTATTGATAAAAATACACGCATATTACACAATGATATGAATTTAGATATTTAAGAAGATTTCTATAATTTAAATTTTAGATGCCAATTACACTATTATATTTATTATTTAGGTGAGATGAAGGTACTTAATTTTTATTTAAATAAATGTATCTAGATATCACTTAACACTAATTACCCATGGCATCATTGGCATCATATTATTATATAACTATATAGGCCATTACCCATATTTTATTATACCTATCTTAAATAAAGGATTTTGTTCGGACCAGACCAGATAGAGGGCGCCAGATAATTCAATTAGGATTAAAGCATCGAGGTATATAAACTATACTGGAGCGCGCACTCGTTATCAAAAAACGAGCCGACGCGTTCGAACGATTCCCCCACCACTGCAGGGCAAAAGATTACCACACGCCGGTCACTATACGTAGTATGTTCTCATGGCTCTGAACTCTTGGTTAATTGTTTATGCTGTTTTTTTGTCTTTAACCTTATTTTTCTATTAAAATTAAAATTCGTCAAAAACATTCTAATATATTTTATGAACAAAAATGGTTATTTCGTTAATAATCGTAATACAGTTAATTGAATATACTAATGAAATACTTGATTATATTGCTGGATATATTGTAAAAAATATTTGCAAAAAAGTTATGTGTCCTTACTGTATTGATATATTAGTAAAAAGTGATCTAACAGATCATAGCTATGTAAAAGATGCAAATTTTACATCTTTTGTAAATCGGGGGAAATTGAAAATAGTTTCATCAGGTGTATCACTTATATTATTCAAGAGCTTGTAAACTCTTTTCAAGCTGTTGTTGTTATAAATAAAAAATTACATAACAATGTGAAACAAAACATTGTAATGTTAGCAAAAAAAAATATATTGAACAAAAGTACTCTATTTTTTTTCCCAAATTCACATCCTATTACTGTTGATATTGGTTCCACAAGTCATGAGTATAGCCTCTTTACTGCACTAAGTCAATGTTTTGTTAATATAAGAATGCGTCATTATGCCAAAGAAATAAACTCTAAACAAGTATTTAAAAATAAATCATCATTAAGGCAGAAATTAACAAAATTAATTTTATTTAACAATATTTAAACTGTTAAAACTACTCATTGAGTGTATTTGATTTGTTTTTATACTTTTATTTATAATTTGAATGTAATTTATTTTAGTATGATATTATGTAAATGAATGTTAAATTATATGTTATTAATATTTTTAAAGGAAATAATAAATATTTTCATTAGTATTTTTAATTTTATATTGTATGTGTAGTAATGATAAGTATTGTATTTCTCAAATATATATTAGAGTATACTATACTAAGGGCTAATACTTTTAATGTTTTGCTATTCAAAAATTAAATGATATTAAATTATTTTTATTGATTCCTAATTTAATAATTTTTGAAAAAAATAATGTATTATACACGTAAAGGTAGTAGGTACGTCGTACTATTATACGCCATACGGTACATGGCATTAAAGTTGCCCTGCAGTGGTGGGGGAAACGATCGAACGCGTCGGCTCGTTTTTCATTACACGGACGGTATACGCAGTGCGCGCTCCAGTATAGTTTATATACCTCCATGGATTAAAGCCGGTTCACGACACGCATGCGCCGCCGTTGTGCTATCAAAAAACCGCCGTTGCGTCGTTATGTCGTCCGTCGCGAGTAGTGTACTAGTGTCCAACAGTGTCGTTTACCGATCGGCCAGCCGTATCGCGCTATAATAATATCGTTACGTATTGAAAACCGAGTGTGTCTGTTAATGTCACGTGTTTTTTAATTGTAGTGCCGAGTAGTCGCATTTTTACCTTTCGCTCATTGTGACGGCCGTATGAATATTATCCCTAACAGCACATAAGGTTTCATTTATGTATTTTTATGTATCTGTTACACAGTGGCGGCTATCCTATACGTCAAGTGTATCGACGGATACACATGATTTTGGGGTGGGTCCGGGTGGGTGGGTAGGTGGTTGACTGCTTGACATATTATAGGTATTTTATTATAATATAGTGTAAATAGCAAATAATATGTAGTATGTACATAATTATCTTGCTGTATTGCTCTAATTAACGCTGGTTGCAGTAATGCAGGCAATAGGCATGAAACATGCAACATGCACAATGCACTGACGCTGGGCCGCTGGGGAAATAGTCATAGCGATGCGTTCTATTAGAATTTAGAATGATTCTAATATTAAATATACTATTAGTCTATTAAAGAACTCTGCGTAATAATATCATGATTTATGATAACACAGGGCCACTCGGGTAGTCGGGTGACAGCTGGTTGTTAATCCAAATTATCTATTTTTAACACTTTTCTTAAGTTCGCTTTCACGTCCGTCTGTGATCAAATCTTGCACGCTCGATTTGAGGCACTTTTTGAAGATGAAAAATTCTGAAAATTGGTATAGACCTTGGTCTTGGATGACAATACAATAATCCGTTGTCATTTTGGGACCCGGACCTACAGGTCGGCGATGACGGGTGTGCAAAGTCATCTCAGAGGAAGTACAGGTACGATTTTTTGTTTATAAATGGTTTCCATGGGTTTTAAAACTATTATAATAATAATTATAATTACTTTTAACTAAAAAGTAGAAAATAAAAAAATAAAAATAAACATTTTTTAAAAACACACTTTTCAAAATAAAACATATTTAAAAAAAAATATATTAAATAATCCAAAAAAATAATGAAAAATTTAAAAGTGTGTGGTGCATCATACAAAACATTTAAAGCCGAGCTAAGTCTCACATTCACTTCTTTGTTTAATCTTGTTTAATATGTCAAGTGTAAGAGCACCACACACTTTTAAATTTTTCATTATTTTTTGGATTATTTAATATATTTTTTTTTAAATATGTTATATTTTGAAAAGTGTGTTTTTAAAAAATGTTTATTTTTTTTAAACTATTTTCGAAATATTTGGAAAAATTACGTAGAAGAAAAATAATATTTTAAGAAAAAAATAATTATTTTTAAAATATAATCAGGGTCTTGCAATAATAGACAATAGTATAATGCAATTTTTAGAAATATTTTAAAATACTATTTTGTCTCTCCTGAACATTTTCTTAATATGGAAATGTCTGGTTGTAGCACCCACGACCCACGTCTTCAATTATGGTGTTAATTACAAGGAAACGGCCGAGTTTATCTTTTATCTATGGTGGCATGGTGCCAACTGCCAATATTGTTATCTTTATTGTAAAAGTTATGCCAAAATGATGATAACAGTAAATTTATTTTTAGAATTGGGCACTTAATTTTTGAAAATATAAACATTGATAACATGTTTTGAGCATTGTTGTTGAATTTTAATAAGTAATTTATTGAATTGTGTTCGTACACTCGTACATACAAGTTACAACCTACTGCATCTCTTACCTACATATTTTGTTTTCTGTATGACATAATATGGTGATTGATGCATATTATTATAATTTAATCTACGATACCTACCTAGTAGAGGTGGGTCGTTACTGCTGTATTCGGTACAAAGTAACGATTACATTGGTGGAACGAGTAGGAACGAGTACAGCTGATCGTTCCTCAAACGTTACGTCGGTACAAAGTTTCTAACTACAAAATGGTCCCCATTAGGCGATACCGATACCGAGTACCGACTGGCGAGTGGCGACTAGTCGCTATACTAACAGTAGGACATGAAATACAAATATTTTGTTCGTTCCACTGCGTTTCTAATTCTGCGCGTAAACTCTACGCACGACTTCGGTACGTAGTACGTTACCCCACTACCATGTTACGACTTACGGTCGATAGATCGTCGGAGGCCGTTATCGCTGTTTTTGTCGATTTTACAATTGGTTTTCTTAAAATAAAACTTAGAAGTGTAAACACTCGGATAATATCTGATTTAATCTAACTGATTGTTCCAATCGTTACATCAGTACATTTTTAAATTTGTATTATTAATTATTGTAAAACTATTTTATTTAAAAATAAAATACTGAAGGTAGTAACTAGTAAGTTGTATACTATACCACGGATTACAATAACACATTTTAAAAACTGTAAAAGTGTAAAGTAATTTATTATTTTAATATGAATACTAATAACAAGCATTGATTTTAAAGTTTAATAATAATAATAATAGTAATGATGAACAATTTTACTTATTTTAATAATTACTATTTAAAAACATTAATATTTCAACGTTTTTTAACGATAACCTGCTACGTCTTTCTGAAATAGTATATCCGGCTTTTGAAAAGATTCGTTCACACGGAACAGAACTCGACGGCACACACAACCTTAATAACATCATTTCAAACAAATTTGGATAGATATTTCTTCTATTATTCCACCACTTAAGTGGATCTGATTTTCTGTCGAGTAACGGCTCACTTATATATCTGTCGATCTCCTCAATAGCTTCAGATGTTGGTGTACTTAATGTTGGTGTTGACACCTACATACAATTACAATATGATTTAAGTTACAAACACTTATAAATAATATATTAAATATATAAATTTAGTATACGATATACCTGTGCATCGAAGTGTTTCCAAATTTCAGATGTTTCATTTTCTATTGCATTATTGTTCAATGGTGTATTTATATTATGTTCGTCATTACTTTTATTTCTTTTAATTATTGCCGCAATTTTTTCTTCTTGATCGTACGTACGCTGGTATATAATATGGTTATCAAATGCTTTTTTTTAAAAACGTGGATCTAATAAAGTTGCCTCTGTTAATACTCGTTGATTTTCAATACCTTCAAACTTTTTATCGGTTTTCGTTAGCATTTTAGAAAGCATCAAATGAATTGTATGTGGTAGTTGAATGTTCTGTATATTATTTTTAATGTGAGAGTTTAACATTTGAGTTATAATTAAGACTTTAGAAATTGAAACGCCTTTTTCAGAACTAAGTTCAACAGTGGCTTCTTTAAAGGGCTTAAATATTTCACAATAGTGTTGCATTATTTCAAAATCTTCGTTAGTCAAATTGTCTACGTTACCTATTATAGGAATTGTGGAAATGAGTGGTTCTTTAATTAGTATACACCTTTGAAACATGTCAAAAGTTGAATTCCAGCGCGTAGTAACGTCTTGAATCAGTTTCAATTCTGGATAACCCATTTGAGTTTGTGCATTTTTTAATTTTTTATATGATTGTGTACTTCGTTTAAAAAAACTCGACAACTTTCTTATCTTTTTTGTATACGTGGTTTATTTCTTCTAGTCCAGCTTGAGCAATTAAATTTATTGTGTGAGCTAAACATGGTATATGACGCCAGTTTTTATTCATTTTGATTGCTGCTGTTATATTTGCCGCATTGTCAGTGACAGCAACCTTAATTTTTTCACTAATATTCCATTCATTAAAACAATCTTTTAAAAACACCGACAAATTATTACTAGAATGAGATTTTTCAAAATTAAAACACCCAAGTAAAAAAGACTTTAAAACACATTCTGTTGTATGAATAAAATGAACGGTCACGGCAACAAAGCTATCATTATTTATTGAGGTCCAACCATCAGTAGTAAACGCTATAAATTGAGCATTATTTAAATTATTTTTCACTCTCTCTTTAGTTTCATTGAGTAGCTGTGGTAATAATGATTTTGATACTGTTTTTCTAGATGGTAATTTGTACCCAGGATTTAATAGATGAACGAATTTTTTTAATTCTTCATTTTCCACCAAACTAAATGGTTGAAACTCTTTTGCAATCATAATTGCTAACTGTTCGTCGAGTATTTTTTGTTTATTTAGAGAAATTGGTTTCATAATATATGAATCTACTCGAGTTTGTAATGGGCGTGTTTTTTTTGTATTTATGTTGGTCGTTGTGGAAGGTTGACAACTTAAAGTTTGAGGTTGTGAGGTTTGTGGTCTTTTCTCGTTAGGTTCATCAGGTTCATGTTCATCTAAATTTTGCTCTACCATTTCTAAACGTGGAATTTTTCTAGCTTCGTATTGTACATAGTCTTTCCTTTTTAAATGTTTGGTTAAATTTGTAGTTGAACCCCCTTTATACGAAATTGGATTTGAACAGTATGAACACTTTGCCTTCTCATTATTTATCACTGAAAAGTGATTCCAGATGTCACTACTTTTCTTCTCCATTTAAAAATAATAATATTTTCTAGAACTTACAAAAATAAAAGTATGTACTATTGTCTATTCTATATGAAAATATGAAATAACAAAATAATATTTGTTTTTATTATTAAAAAAAATAGTTGAATGAATGTTCCAAAGATAATCAGCAAAGTACAAAGTATTTATTTATAAATTCATTAATACTTGCAGTAATTAAAACTATTTTTTTCTTTGACGATCACGTTACATTATACTGTCTCAGCGTACTATCTATTAGATAGTATCTAACATAAATCCAGCACTTACCTTTTAGAATATTGTTGATCCAAAAATCTCGAAAACACCAAATTATTTAACTTCATAAAAATTAAGTACTTAATAACTAAGGTCTAAGATAGTAAGATGGTTACCCAATGGCGACTGTTAACCAAATGAAAATAAATTCAATTACAGTAATGTAAAATAAAAACAACTCAAAACAATATTATTATTTATACGTATGTGTATTGTGATATATTATACGTAATTTATAGTTTTGATTCTTGATAAAGTAAATATTAAATATTATTAATAGAATACGAATACCATTACACATTTCACAACTATCAACTATACCGAAATCAGACACAGGAAATGTTTATTTCTTTATTTTATTGTGTTCTTTTATAAATAAATAAGTATTTACAAATCTATTTTTATTTAGCGTTTGTATTTAACAATAGTAGGTGATAAACTAATAGGTATTAAAATTGTATATTTCAAGTTTCAACACTTTTATGTCATTATATTTTATAATAATATATAAAACATTGTTTTTTATGAATCATATATTTATTTAATTGTAACTAGCTCTAAGTATAACTCGGGGCCCGTTGGAATCGCTGAGAGTGGGTACCGATTTTGGAGACAATGAATTATAAAAGTCGCAAAGGTTGTAAGACGAAAGTTTAGGATTTGTGATAAGGATTAGTGATATGGATTGGATATAAGGCTAGACGCTTTGGTGGGAATGTTAAAAGTTTGAGTGTCTAGCAATCCGTCACAAACGTTGTAAATGGATAGGCTGGATACGATCTCCAGGATCACCTATTCACCTATATAGAGTATACCTGCACATAGAGTGGTATGTGCCGTAGCATGCCCGGTGCTTTATCTTATGTAAAAAGTGTAAAGTCGAAAACCGTGTTGGAGTTTCTAGTAAGTCAGTCATCTCAAGTCAAAATCTATTAACTTTCAAGTTAGCCACTTAGGTTGGAAATCCGACTTCGTCGGATCGCGGACAATGTGCTACAGCAAATCAGGTATTCAATCCACCTGCGGTGGATTGCAGACCCGACGTCAAGCGGCTATAAGTGAAAACCCTATCACACAACTTACGAAATAATTTACGAAAAATTCAAACTATATACAATATACATACAAACAAATATGATATGTATTTATTGCATGATATAATATAACAATGAACATTCTGAGAAATGTGCTATTATTATAATTCCTAAAAAAAATTTACATATAGGTAGATAGTTAGATACACACTATTATATTAACCAATATAATAAATATAAACATGTACCTATAGTGTATATACATATATGAGTAGTATGATTTGGGGGGTTCAGACCGCTGACACTTCACACACTTCACACACTTCACACACACACACACACACACACACAAACACACACACACACACACACACACACACACACACACACACACACACACACACACACACACACACACACACACACACACACACACACACACACACACACACACACGATTATCGGTCACGTGCGCGACGTATATTTTGGCCTTATCAGTAACCACTACTTACCACTGATAACGATTGTTGGACAGGTGCCGCGACGTATACCTAATAGTGATAACGATTATCAACAACCGTCAAATTATCAGCAGCTGTCACCGCCACCAGAAATATCTACAACATAACGTAATTATTAGTACAGTGTAGATTATTACGATTTTATCGAAATTCACGAAATAAACATATATTGTTAAATATCAGAAATATATACCGTATACCACTATTGTTACTACGGTGTAGGTATTTTTAAAAATGTCGAAATTCACGAAATAAACGTAAATCGCAAAATATCAGAAATATCTACAACATAACGTAATTATTAGTACAGTGTAGATTATTACGATTTTGTCGAAATTCATGAAATAAACGTATATTGTTAAATATCAGAAATATATACTGTATACCACTATTGTTACTACGGTGTAGGTTTTTTTAAAAATGTCGAAATTCACTAAATAAACGTATATTATTGAATATGAGAAATATCTACAACATGTTTTGCCGTAGTTTTAAAATTGTTTATAATGTACCATAATGATAGCATGCGTTGTTAACGTTGAGTGTGAAATTAAAATATATGACGCATATCTTTATTTTAGTATGTTGTAGATTTATTAAAATAGCCGAAAATCACGAAATAAACGTATATTGTTAAATATCAAAAATATATACTGTATATCACTATTTGATGTATGGTGTAGGTTTTTTTGAAACGTTCAAATTCACTAAATAAACCTATATTATTGAATATGAGAAATATCTACTGCACGTGAATGTGAAACGGACACTTATAGGCTCCGCAAGAGTCGGCATTCAGTCAGTCTGTCTTCAAGTGTACACACGTACGATTCTCCTCCGCTTTTATCAGTCTTTATTATATTTGTCAAGTGTTTAAAATTTTTCCAAGTCTTTATTATTTTTATAATAAACAATTTTTAAAAACATGGCTGGTTCAATCGAAGACAACGCTGCATTATACAAGAAAAAGACCTTTACGTATGTACCACCATCACCACCGGCTGAACTCATCGAAACCACAAGCTACACGATCAACTTTGCAGCTCGCAAATTTATACTTGTCGGTATCGATCTTACTGATAATTTTCAAGTCACCGTTCATTTATTAACACCATCGCGCCATGTTAAAATATCGCCGGATTTCCTGAGACGTATATTCTCTATGATGGGACATATCTTATCATTTATATTAGATACGGTCCAGAAGTACAAGCGCATCATATTTCTTGAGACTGAATTTCATAAAATATCCAGTATGGTGTATTGTGGAGAAAACGTGCTAGTAATAGAGTCAAAAACTCAGGACGGGTGCAGAGTACTGTTAAATCGGGAGGACTTTATGCAGCTTCAATATCTTGAATGTAGTATTTTCTAAAGTATTGTACGGAAAGAAGTAACCACTGCTCCAGTAATTAAAAGACAGTTTGACGATTTTGCGATGTATCTACATGAGAAATCTGCTTGTCTTAAATCACCACCGAAAAATTTAGAAGATATGTTAATATTCGTTAAAAAAATACAAGACGATAGAACGGAGAAAATTTACCCAAACATGATCGGTCAAATACAAATGTATGCAACCGTACAACTAGCTGAAACTGTGTTACAACAGTTGACACATGAGGTAATTCATAAATACAGTAGTACATGTAAAAAAATATTTAATACAATTTTTTTTATTTTAGTTACAGAATGGTGAAATGGATACACCAACGTCGTCAAGCTATTCGCCGGTCAGCAATATATTAAGCATGCACGACGATTCATCTGCACGTGATGGATTTAATCAGCCTAAGGATGATATTTTAGCTAAGGTAATTTATATAAACTTAGTTTTAAAAATAAAAACACAATATTTATTTTATATTTATTTTTTCCAGGCACTAGATCATATTGACGGATCTGCCGAGGTTCGCAACCCGCAGGCGTGCGACGTAAACGATGGGCCTGATTTTTTCTACCAATTCAGGACGATATCACCACCACAACCTTACCCAACTTACACCGATCATTCAGTGCCATCACACAAACGATCTCATTCAACCTTCGCCTACCATCCGACGCCAGTACGTGATGTTAAGCGACGTCTATTTTAATATTTGTATGAAAATAACTAATTTATGTGAAAATAAAACAAGCATGATACTTAAAAAAAGTTTTTTTTTATTTATTAAAATAATAGTAAGGTTTACAATAAGTATTTACAAGGTTCTTACTTCTCCATTAAATGGTTTATAAGTTATAATTTGGTCATGTAATATTAAGCAATATGCGGATGTTGAAGCTGGGAACGCTTCGTCTGCTTCTAGTTCAATCCTGAGGTCGACGGTTGATGTTTTCACGTTATCGTTCTGTCTGCTCATATCAACAACTATAATTGGAGACATATTTTTGAAATCCACTCGATTCAATAGCGGTTTCACATCGTCATGGCCGTAGTAAGATTTTTGGAACTCGGCATACGCGCGATATAATGTCGCCATCTTGTTCTTGGTAAAGTCACTTTGAAAATCTTCATAGTGAAATACTTCAGCGTTTAAATAGACCTTTAGGTTTTTAATTTTACAATGGTCGAAATATGACATTGCTTTAGTTGGACTATTTTTCCTATTGGTTTGAAATCCGATTATTACATAGCGAGGTTTTTCTAATTTGTTGGATGTCTTCACTTTCCACGAATGCGAAGTGTTTTGAGGTAAAAATGGATACTCACACAGTTCCCACGATCTAAACGCACATGTCAGGAGTTTCTGATTGTTGATTACTTTCAACAGTCTAATTTTTTCTCTATCACTAACTCTCACTATAGGCATCCGCCACAATATTTTTGTTATGTTTATTTTAACGTCTTTTAGTTTAGGAGCGTCTGCGACAACTTCATTATTTTTAAACTGCTTGATGGCATTCATATCAATCGATGCTCTATTCAATACAAGTTGCTGATTACAGTTTATTAAAATTCGCTTATAATCTTCACAAAAACCAAACAAATCTTTAAGATTAATACATCCGTTAAAATGGTCGTTATCGATAAAATCTTTATTAGCAGATTTAATTTCGCTATCCCAAGCAGCGTTATGGTGCGATGAAATATTTGTTTTATTATACGAGCAATATCCTTTTAATGTGGTCGATATACCCGGATTGACGAATTTCTGAATTTGAGTACCGTTTA